TATTCGGCGATTGGACCAACCTGCGTGTGGAAAGCCAGCCATTCCTGCGGGAATGGCCAGGCCACGAAGCATCCAGTGAGACACTTGCCAGCTAACAAGGGTTGCTGTGACACTACGCAAAAAGGGAGAGTGCTTGCTACGAAAATATTTTCTACGCGCGTCAAATTTCCACTTGCGCTAGTTCAAGAGAGGACATGTACTCTTCGTTAGACGCTCGCAAACTCCTGTAAGCCTTACTCCAAAAAGTTCCTAGAAATAAGGAATGATGAAAAAGAGAAGTCTCCTCGTGTAACCCCATTAGTCAACCAAATCCAAAGTTTGAAATGATAGCTCCATCCAGACCCATGAACACCGATCTATAATAGAAGCCAGATATGAAGAACGAGGCGCAAAATCTCAGGAAGATCAATTCAGGAGAAGAGGAGCTGCTTATGCACTCTTTAACTTCTTCGCCCAAAGGTTGTAGTACGGTTCCATCTCTTGCTCACAACTGCGCTTAGGATCGGAATCACATCCGGAAAACCGAATGATCAGATCTCCGTCCTTGTAAGTGCCGTCGGCAGAAGCAGCAGGGGAATCTTTGCTGTAAGCATTAATGCTTCGTTGAGGAACAAGCGCCATTCTCGCGAGGACAGTCGGATGCCATTGCACTATATGATCCTAGTATAAGAGGGGCAATTGTCAGGAAAATCATCACCGGCCATCTGGAAGGAACCGAGGAGGGAAACCTACCAAAGCGTGCGTCTCCGCTTTCTGAAAGTTGTACTTCCGATACAGAGGATCAAACCACATATCAAGGAAGAATCGCGCAAAGTCGCCCTGCCGAAGCACAAAGCTTCCGGGGTTCAAGTCCTCGTTATCCGCGCTGATGATCAGATCGACGTCATCTGGCTTCAGGTGCGAGAAGGTCTTGATGATGCTATCCGGCGGCACAACGGGAACGTCCTTAAGCATCAACGATTGAAGGCGATTCTTGCCGAGAATATGAGACTCTAATGGTTTGCTAGGGTTCATGATCAGGGCATGAGCATCGAGGTGAAAGAAATAAGCTGAATGAGGGTGTGACGCCATTGCATGACGCATCGCTGGTAGTATTGCCCAGCTCCGCGGGGCGTTGTCCAGGGCGGGTTCGTAATCAGACAGATTTGCAAAGAAATTCGTATAGCCTGTATTTTAGAAAGGTTTAGTCGGTCACGGAAGTAGAGCTGATGTACTGCAAGTAGTTCACCTACCATGTCGACTAGCATAATGCTCTCTGTTCTTGATGATCTTCTGGATGTAGGCATCACTGAAACGGACCCGATCTAAAACGGTAACAATGACAATGCTTGAAGCTCCCGCAGGGGCAGATATTGACGCTGTACTCGAATGGGAGAAGTGTGATAAAAGGAAGAACAGGGTGAGGATAGCAAAGCCTAAAATTGCAGCGGCCTTGAGCTGTTTCTTGCGTTGTAAAGAGAGCCTGGAGGAGCGGGTGTGGGAAGAAGTATGAGGACTCCTCCGAGGGGGTAGAGCAAACTGCATGACGAGATGACTTTGTCCCCAGCGACTCTTGCTGGGCGACTCTGTATAATCTGAATATGCCTCCTATTAGGACATGGTGGGAGTAATATCCGCAAGGCAAACCGGACGAGCTGTATAGATTGTACTGTCGTACCTGGAGGCGGCCAATCTGCCGAATCCGGAAATGAGCGGCGGATCATCGTTCGCCCGACCTTTGTATATGGCACATTCCAATCAACGATCTGGACTCACAGGAGGTCTAGTCAGACGGAATGTGGGTTATCTGAGATAAGGGCGTCAATTTACTTCAATGAAGAAGAGGACTTGCAGCAGAGCTCAGCGATACTTCTCTATTATAACATCTATCTTCAGACCTATGAGCTATCCAGAAAGAGTATCTGATATTGTGCACCGGGGAAGATGGCATATGCATAGAATATTTCAAGCAATACTGTATTGCAGATATGATACATGAAGGGTTAGACGGAAAATGGGCGGTTTTCGTGACTCCCGGCCAGTGATTCTTGTCTGAAATGGTGTACATTGAATTCCAGAAAATAGGTCGAAGATAATAGTACATGACGCCCAGTCCTTGGCCAACAGAATAGAAAAACGAATCGACTGTCCATGGTATGCTGATCAGAAAACTCCCGTCACATCCTTTATTCTCCTAGTACTGTTTCTCGTTGTATGTTGGTTTCGTAACTTCCTTGATGTTGGTCTCTTCCTCCACCTTGGCTTCGATTTCTGCCTCCTTCTGCTTTACCCACTCCTCGAACGACGGTGGCTCGGGGAGACCAAGGCGTTTTCTTTCTTGGCGAAATTGCTCTTGGATCTTAGGTGTCTGCATCACTTTCCATCTCAATTCCCAACCGAAAATACCCAGTTCCTTGATACGGCCGGGCCGGTCGTCCAGAAGGTAGTTGTCGAGACCGCCCGACTTCCAGATTGTTCGCAGAGCCTTTCGCGTAACTTTGATGTAGAGGTACTCTCCGAGGGCTTCACTCCAGAGCTTCTTCCGCCTGACGTTGGGCTTCCAGAATCGTCGCGTTTTACCCTCGTTGCGGCCCTTCGAGATCTTGTTTCCGAACTGGATCATAGCCCCACCATATAGGCCGGAGTTTGATTGCTTGAAGATGTAGTTGGGTCCATAGGGGTAAGGAGGGATATAATCCGGTAATTGCTTCGTCTTTTGCGCAGCCAATGTCGTAGAGAACGAGCGCTTCGGGACTGATAACGAGAGGTTGCGAAAAGCTGCGGAGAGGGAGCAGGGAAGAGTCATGGCGGAGCGACTCTGGAGGCCTGCCATTGTGATAATGAAGTTATAGAAACAGCATCAACAATGGCAGGACAGTAGGAAATTAAGTGTAGAGATCCGATAAAAGGCTGCGGATGAGACGAATCGTAGCCTGATAGAGCACCGTCCGCTAGTAAAATGATCGGGAAGTCTGGTAGAGGGAAAGAATTTGGGCGGATTCTTTGGGGTGCTTGACCGCCTTGGCAACGCACCGCTATCATTGCTCGATCCCTTTGAGCTGCGCGCTTGAATTTCGGCCAGAAGCATCACCTCGCTGGATATTAAAGCATTAACTTCCTTGCAGCAGGTTTTCCTTTGCATGATCTCCTTCACAACTATTTCTAATATTCGACCACACTTGAAAGGCTTTCATTTCATCCAGAGAGTTGCCTATCAGCTTCCACGCCAGGCCGCAATACTTCGCCATGGTTCAGATTAGTGAAGTGAAGGGCAGTTCGCGCGAGAATAGAACAGCGGCACACACTCATATCAAAGGCCTTGGGTTACGTCCAGATGGGAGTGCGGAGCCGTCTGCCGATGGCTTCGTGGGCCAGGCAGCAGCCCGTGAGGTGCGGAGCATTCAATTTTTCTTCACCTTGTCAGATAAGCTTGGGCTAACTAGCATGTTTCTCTGACAGGCGTGCGGTGTCGTCGTGGATTTAATCAAGGCGAAGAAAATGGCAGGACGTGCAATTATGCTTGCAGGTGGACCAGGAACTGGAAAAACGGCCCTTGCTCTGGCTGTGTCACAGGAACTGGGAACCAAGGTCCCGTTCTGCCCGATTGTTGGCAGTGAGATTTACTCTGCTGAGGTCAAGAAGACCGAGGCACTTATGGAAAACTTTCGCCGGGCGATTGGTATGCTGTATCCGTCGCGTTTTTCTGGTTGAGATTGCGACTAACAAATCCTCAGGTCTAAGAGTGCGCGAGACGAAAGAGGTATATGAAGGAGAAGTCACAGAACTCACGCCTGAGGAAACCGAGAATCCCCTTGGCGGCTACGGACGTACCATCAGCCATTTGATTATCGGATTGAAGTCAGCCAAAGGAACCAAGAAACTGCGTCTTGACCCTAGCATTTACGAGGCGATCCAGAAGGAGCGTGTGACCATCGGAGATGTCGTCTATATCGAAGCGAATACTGGGGCTTGCAAGAGAGTTGGACGGTCCGATGCATATGCGACCGAGTTCGATCTTGAGGCGGAAGAATACGTTCCCGTACCGAAGGGAGAGGTACACAAGAAGAAGGAAATTGTGCAAGATGTGACGCTTCATGACTTGGACATGGCCAACGCACGGCCGCAGGGTGGACAGGATGTCATGAGTATGATGGGCCAGCTCATGAAGCCGAAGAAAACAGAAATCACGGACAAGCTGCGCCAGGAGATCAACAAAGTGGTCAACCGCTATATCGACCAGGGTGTTGCTGAGCTTGTTCCTGGCGTGCTCTTCATTGATGAGGTATTTCGAGCTCCTTTTCCCATCCCATTCTAAGTGTGCTGACTCGTTCTCAGGTTCACATGCTTGACATCGAATGCTTCACCTATCTCAACCGCGCCCTTGAGTCTAGCATCTCCCCTATCGTCATTCTCGCATCCAACCGGGGCCACACTGTGATTCGTGGTACAGACGATGTCGCTGCTGCGCATGGAATTCCCCCAGATCTGCTTGCCCGTCTCCTCATTATTCCCACGCATCCTTACACCCCCGATGAGATCAAGACCATCATCCGCTTGCGCGCTAAGACGGAAGGCCTCAATATCACCGATCCTGCCCTCGACAAGGTCGCCGAGCATGGCAGCAAGGTCAGCTTGCGGTATGCTCTACAACTGCTCACCCCTGCCAGCATCCTCGCGCGCGTGAATGGACGACCAGGCGGCATTGAGGAGGCGGATGTTGCAGAGTGCGAGGATCTTTTCCTTGATGCGAAAAGAAGTGCCGCCATCGTCAGCCAGGACAGTGACAAGTTCCTTTCATGAAGTAATGCACTTAATTTAATGGGGATTCGGTTGATCGAGGGAGTTACAAAACCACGCAAAGATGTATGCTATGTCTGATATGCAAGTTCTTATGTCACGTAATGGAAAGGATACTTTGGCTCCATGAGCTCTTTGGCGTCAAACAGTAATCATTCAGGAGATAGCCTGGCTGTATTTCTCTGGCTTGTATCTATCCAAGTTTGATACAAACAATAGGCCTTTCACTTTTTCGGGAGGTAAAATTTCTTCAGTGAGCGTCGCAATGCAACCAGTAGGATGAGTGAAACCTCAATGACAAGGACGTAGACACGCAGTAGACTGAGTAGTATCCGAATTAGATGATCTGCCAGACTTAAATGCAATCGTGGTAGCTCAGTCGCATTAAAGAGGTCCGGATGATGCTCAAAGACAAAGGGCACTTTGGCACCGAGATGTTCAACGGCAACCATGAGGCCGGAGGTAACAGCGTCCTCGAGAAACCCACGGCCCGTCCAGGAGAGGCAGAAGCTAAGCCCTCGTTTGTTCTGAATGGCAGGAAGAGAGCTTAGAGCCAGGAGCATGTCGGTGCTGATCTCAAGATCAGTGAACTCCCACACTCCTGCGACAAGGAGAGGATGTGGCGGAGCGAATGGATCCATTGTGATGAGGACTGGGCCGAAGAGCTGTATTGGAATATTCTGCTGGTCATTCATGACGCAAGTGAGGCATATCCTGGGGTTTATGTTGTCAGGAGGGTCTTCAGGAAGGTTCTTGTTATGTCTGTCCCAGGCAGTTACTATGAAACTACTAGCAGGCCATGACCAGTCAAAGTTTGTTGTGAACTGGGCAGTTTGTGAGTACTTTGTAATACAGAGTGGTTCTGACACAAGACAGTGAGATTGAGGAGCTGACATTACTCACAGGTGGGTCTGAATGCAAGACCATGATATGTCTTGCTGTTCGCAACTTTTGTAAGATCTCAGTTTCCTCAGTAGTAGGAATTGTACCCAAAATGTGCTGGATTTCACTCGCAGGAATGGCAAAAATAACGTGGTCAAAATGCGCCTTTTGTCCATCAGATGTTATAAGCTCAAAACGCTCCTTTGTCGACTGCAATATACCTGTCACTCGGGTCTTAACGTGTATCCTATGAGACGGGAATACCCTTGCCATTACCAGGACCAACTGTGTGGCTCCATCACTAATGCGTTGCCATTTCGGCCTCTTTGGTCGTGGACAGAGAATGCTATGGTCCGACAGGGAGCGGACGAAGGCTTTGACAGGCAACAGGTCTATAATTTTGCCAGCATTGATTCCCCACAAAGCCGATAGCATTGATGTCAAGTACTTCGCATAAAATGAGTTTGAATATTCCTCACTTGAGAAATGATGTCGCATCACGGGTTCGTGCTGGGCATGGCGCTCACTCCGTTGATGACCGTCGACCAGTAGGTCTAGACACGTATATCGTAATCGTGCAATATCGAGCAATATGCGCCATGTTTCAAGTTTGCGCAGAAGCCATGGCCGACGCATAATGTCCCCAAGTATACTTCCAGTCCATTGATCAGCCCCAACACCATCGGTGGTTCCAAAGGAGAACTCCGCTGCGGATGTGGAAATTCCTAGACAGCGAAGCAGTGAAACAAGGCTGGCTGCAGTGGAATTAGTCTTAGGGCTGGTTCCATTGCGGATGGCACTGACGAGAAGCAGTTGCATTGAATACTGGTGGCATTGTGTTCACGGCGACTCTATTTCCTTCGTGCTCAAATGGTATTGTCTTGATACGCCCACCAAGCGTTGCAGAGGCCTCGAAAAGATGGACATCATGCGGGGACTTCTGTAAAGCCCAGAACGCGGTGACCCCGGCGCATCCGCCTCCAACAATAGCGACACGTTTAGGCTGCATGGGAGACATGACGCGATCTGTCAGATCTGGGACCACGGAGCAGTATCATTGCATCGCGGGCGAAAACAGAAGTGCTCGCCCCAGCGAATAAAGGCAAGATGTTAATGACTGTGGACTCTAAGACTGGAAGGGCTTGCTTCATCACAAAGCCGCAGAAAAGCGATTCAGCCCGTACTAGGGCCTGGACAATGTGTGCACTCAGATGCTACCTAAGAGAGAGCGTTAAAGCCTCGGATACCGATTTCTTACCCATTGCCAGGATCATCCACGCGCCCCGTTTCTCTTTCGGGCGAAAGGCCATCGCAGATGAGAGCGAAAATCCAGCCATACGCAGATTAAATCTGGAGACGTTGATATTGATGATAACAGCCGACAGGTTTATGAGAGGCGGTTAGGTTAGCCTCCGTTTTCATTCCCAGCAAGTTTTAAGTGTGACCACATCAGATGACAGCAACTTGAGACTCAACCAATGATTACCAATGAACGTGAAGGTCCTAGAGTGATCTTGAATATTATGTCAAAAGCTATCAGCAGTGACAAATTCAGAAGTGGACAATGAGTCAACTAGATTTAAGGTGTAAATGTGACAAAGATATAGAGGTAGATACTCTAGGGAAATGCTATGCCGTTCATCTACGGGAAATGGAAACAAAGGTATGATTGAATTATAAGAGTCCATATTAGTTTGCCTTCTGAGTAGCAGTAGTAAGTGAAGAGAAGATAACTATAATTGTTCTATTTACCTCTTACTTCATCCTCGGCCGGTTGTCACGTGTTCGTGGATGGCTGGAATGAGGTTGATCGCCGAACAATGAACGATCGTCATTGCAGTTGCCATCGTCCAGCCTCTTCTTTCTTTTTCGTCGTCGTTGATTCGGTTCTACAAGTTGTTGATTTACCCTATATCAATTTCTGTAGGCTGTCAGCTGCAAATCAAGTGACAACTTCAACCAAAATTCAAAACGTTTCCGCCTGGGAGACAAGCCCGGCCGTTAGGGAGACCCGCCACGAAGATAAGGTGGGAGAGATCCATCACAGTCCGCTTATCAACGACACCTGTTCGCCCGTCGCGCCGAGATCGTTTCAGTCATACTCTTCTCGCATTTTTCTGCCTTTAGATTTGTGTTCTGTCAACGATTCACGAAGACAATGTCGAACCCGCTAGATACCGATGCCGGCTCTGAGCTGTTCAGCAGTTATGAGACGGAGCTGAAGCTGGTACAGGCCGATCTGAACCAGAAGCTGGACCAGATAGCGGAATCAAGTGGTGAGCAACGGAAATCAGCAATAACACAGGCTGAACGAGCGTTGGATGAGGCCAATGAGTTGGTTCGTCGCGCTTCCTGGACTCCCGCCTCTACATCTTGTCTAACATCTCGTTGAATACGTGCAGCTAGATCAAATGCGCATGGAGAAACAGAACATCCCCTCAGCAGCACGGTCAAAAGTCAACATTCGTTTTCGCAACTATGCCACCGACGTTGACGAAGCCAAGCGGAAGCTCAAATCGCTCTCCGACGATCGCAGGGCGCTCTTTGGCGACCGCTACACGGACGAACCACAAGATGAGCATCTGGAGCAGAGGCAGCAGCTTCTTTCCGGCACCGAACGTTTGGAACGGAGCTCTGCCCGTCTACAGGAGAGCCAGCGGATTGCACTCGAAACGGAGGATATCGGCCGTAATACATTAGCCGACCTCTACCAGCAACGGCAGACCATCGAGCATGCGCGAACGGGGCTGCAGCAGAGTGAGGGTTATGTAGATACGAGCATCAAGACTCTAAGGGGCATGGCCCGTAGGTAATGACTCTCCTTGGAATCCACGCCTTGTGATCTCAAGTTGCTGATCTCGAACTTTTCCCTTCTCACAGGATGGCTACGAATCGGATAATCACGATCGCGATTATTACCGTGTTGGTCCTTTTGATTTTTGCTGTGATTTATAGCAAGTTCCATTAGCGTCGGGTTCTGGACAGGCGTAGATACGATTTCCTCTTCCATATTATCCTCTCATGACTTATTCGTGTCTGTTTGCGCAGGCACTCCTACATGAATTGTTGTATGATAGCATCCGCCCAGCATTAATACTCGTCAAACATATTACTACTATAGCCAGTGGTCACTCAATCGGTCGCTTGGTGCGTTCCTTCAGCATAAGGGTATCATTCGTAGCAAACAAAACAGCACCGCAAGAAAGTCGGCTTCTAGCCTAAAGTAGGCCATCTAATTCATAATGCGCATAGCGCCAAATGCAACATTGATGACGACGCCCACAAAGACCGCCAATCCCTTCCGCCAACTCCATACACCCTCCTCCCTCCTCAACCACATGGCACAGCCCACAGGCCAGAAGAACCCCATCACCGCGCCCCAAAGCATGTCGTCCATGGCACCTCGGGAGCCAGCCCCAAAGCCGCCATCATCATCCGCAAAGGAAATGCCTTCACCTCCACCTCCCATGCCCGCTGCCATCGCGGATGATCCCTCATCCATCCACCGGTCTTCGAGCTCGCGCAGCTCTGCTCCAGTCGGCATGGTATCCGGCGTCCGCGATACAGACTGGATCGCCATAAACTGCGATCGGAGCGCCGACACCTCGGAAGGTGTGAAGCCCGCCGATAACAGCCGATCAAAGCCGCGGGGGGCCGACGTAGTGGACGGCGGAGGTTGCTGCTGTTGCTGCTGCTTTTGTCTCCCTGTATAAGCCTCATCCGTCTGCTCTTGCTGAAGTGTGGTAGCTATTGCCGCCTCAGCCGCTAGATCGGCGTCCGATAGAACAATATCGCCTATTGAGCAATGAATGTAGAGCCGGGACTGCTCCCGGACGGGTGCTTTGCCCTTCCCCTTGGCAGTGGTAGCATCGTCTTGTGTGACGGGAGTTCTAGAAGGCGAAGGTGGGAGCTTTAATGAGACACTGAGTGGGGTGGCATCTTCCAGACCACGACCAGCGTAGATCAAACGGAGGCGATGTGATGAGAGGTTCAGTGGAAGGTGCGTGCGGATCAATTGCTTCAAGCCGGCAGCCGTGGTAATATCAGGGTTCTGGATGTCAAGAGGGAGGTCGGGAATCGAGGCAGAGAAACGGACAGTCAGGAGAAGAGGCCCATCTGCAGAATCCCCGTCCCACGTAGGATCTGGGGTTAGAAATGCGGGGGAAGTCATCTTCACTCTTGGGTATTTAGAAGTCAGAGCGCCGACCGATTAAATGCCAGCCTAGCAAGACTGAAGAAACATCCTGGTTACGGTCTGCCATCCATCGTTCGCGTTGCTTCATCGCATAGTCAGTAACTGCTTACTGCCAAACAGAGACGGATTGAAATGACGACCACCAGCAGATTTCCGCTTTCCGAACACTCACGTGATATACAGATATCCGCTTGGGGGGAAAAATAACAATAAAAGCCAGGAGACAGGAGACAATAATCATAATATATAGTTTCATTATAATACTTAAGGTATATGTACAGTCTGTTTGAAGTTCGACAGGTCCCTGTAACCTCTGCCCATATGTATCTCGAGCGTCAAACCGGAAAACTGCTCCGCGGAAGAAGACTACATCCCATGCCTGATGGGAAAAGAGCAGGAGCAGCAAATCGGAGCTGCGGACTAGGTCCATAAGAAAGCCCCAGTCTTTCCTTCTCAATGCTGTCCTTGCAGAGCACAATCAACCTTGTGTTGCCGGCGCATGTAACACCAGAAAAGAAAGCCGTAAGACCAGGGATCAGGTGTACGTAAATATCGTGAGCAAGCCGCAATAACGCCGTTAAATGCACCTCAATGAAACCCCAGTTAACCCAATAGCAAAAGCGAACATTTCAGAAACGATGTTCTAGACCATGAAGGATTCGCCGCACCCGCATTGCTCCTCTGTCGCTTCAACGTTAGACAAACTGTATCGTGGTAAATATGTATACGAATGATGGGGACTTACTAATATTGGGATTTCGGAAGACAAACTTCCGGCTCAGCTTGTCCTCTTGCCAATCCATTTCGCTACCAATTATGCTGAACAGAGCCTTGCTGTCGATTAAAACTTTCACTCCGTCTTGCTCAACAACTTCATCGAAAGCTGCAGGCTTTTCAACGTATTCAAGATGGTAGGCGAGCCCAGAACATCCCCGGTTCTTCACACCCACCCGAATAAATTTGGGGTCTGGCTGTGACAGGAGCTTACGGAGTTGCTCAACCGCGAGCGGCGTCAACTTCATGGCCGCCTTTCTTGCCCGTAATTTTCTTCGGGGCTTTTCCGCGTGTGTCGAGCTTGTGGTGGGCGCGGTTGTAGCAGGTTTCGACTTCTGAGCTTCCCCTTCTCGCAGGCTCACATTCGAATAGTCTCCCCTCTGTTCTTGTTTTTGCATCGTCGTGTCAGGAGTTGGTGGAAATTCTGCTGCGATAGATGTGTCTGGGGTGCCGGCGTTTCGGGACGGAGGAGGGAAAACAGACGGTAAGGTATGGGGTCGGTAGGCAGTAGCGGTCTGCATATCACGCTTCGATGACCGGTATGTATTTCCAAACGAGGAGAAACTCCTGAGCGCTTGCGCGCATTGTGTATTGAATGGTCTGCTCGCGCTTCTCAACATCGTGGCGGATGATGTCACCGAAGGGTGCACAGTAACCCTGTAGAACGACATGGTAGAATCAAATCTATGTGTATAAAGGAGAAGACTGCGGTCTATAATAATAAGAAATAGGAGGTAGATCCTTTTGTATCTGCGATGGACTTGCTGGTTTCAGGGAGAGAAATTGTTTTCAAATATAGAGAAATGGGTACTTTGGGAGATGATTCTGTTTTGTAGGCGGAGGCGGAACAGAGTCGGCGGTTCGGCAAAGAGTTGAAGGGCAAAGAGTCAACCAGCCAATCAGCGTTGAGGTGTTTCTACGCATCCCGCCCTGAAATGTCATTGAGACTTCACTCTGCAGGTGGCGCCACTTCAAATCATGTGATGGAGGTCGAGTCTCTTAGTAGCACTTCAATGTTGAGATCAAGGGTAAATTGGCTATTTCATGAGGTTTGTTATCAACTGATCTACATCATTGTTTAGTTTGGGATTTCCTATCTACCCATTAATATTTCCCTACTATCTGAACATCCTTAAAACAACTGAGGTTATACAAATCCCAAGGATGTCGTTTTTTTGACAGCATTGATATTTCAAAATTCATGGAAGTAGAGTCACCCATGCTTTCATATTAACAGGTATGGAGTAGATAAAGCATCTGATATTCAAAGGCTGGATTATCGTTGACTCTCCTCAATAAGAAACTCAATGAAATGTGGCTTATTGCTGACAACGCAATTGCTGATGTGGCTAGTGCGTTCTGGCCCAAAGAGGCAGAAATGGCTGGAGACCACTATTATTATGCCTCGACACTTGTACTTATGATACATTGGATATTCATATATTCGGAATCTTTCTATCATCATTTGTATTGCAGTTCCTAACTTGTGCTGATTCCCCAGTATTGCTGCAATGGTTCTACGCTCTTTGGAGTGTCGTGTATAACATCATGGAATCCCCCTTAACGCAGCAAAGTAGACCAGAGACTTTCAAGCCTAAAATTGTGCAACTATATGAAAATCTCTTTCAAGTATGTCATGTACAATTCCTCTGCATCTCATGCTAATTATTTTACCTATAGACTTCAGATTTTACAGAACCATCCGAAGGTTTCTGGCGAGAGTTCTTTTTGTTGCCGCCTGATCGAGCCCAGCTTGCATTAATTCTAGATAGGCTCGGTCCAGAAGATACTCTTCACTTGCAGGTATTTCATCAACCCTATGAAACTTTCAACCTGATATTGCTTACTGACACTCTACCAGGCTCAAACTCAGCAGCTATTTGCACGTGCAATAAAGGAGGCCAACTCTAGAGTTAGCCCAGTAAACGCTTATGCATTAGAGGTGAGCTGTCTGGTCGGGAAGTTACACTGCAAGCTCTAATGCCTTAGCCAGACCTTGACAGTGTTCTTAGCATGTGTGCTGAAGAAGAAGTATACCAATCCCAGCTCTGATGTTATCACTGTCCTTGCCGGGCTTGATGAGGTCGACCATGTCATCTCGAACCTTGTCGCCGTTCTAGATGGTATTATTCGCAATGGGAGCAGCTGTGAGTACCCAATCCTGCCTAAGTTGACCGAATTACGGCCGCTAATGAGTCTGCAGTTGATATTCGGATTAAAGCGATCCGGGTAGCTATTGCTCTTACCAGTGGCGCATATAAGACGAGTCTCGTCTCCTACTTTACCCATAGGGATCTGTTCCCCTCCCTCATGAAGGTATGGCCGTGCTAAGCCGTAGTTGCTCTGGCTGCTGGATTCGAGAGTTTCTGCTGACACACCCCGAAGTTTGTGCACGAATCTGATACCCCTATTCAAATATTTGAGCCGTTCCTCCTTCTCGGACTATTAGCGAACTACAACAAGTTCGAGTTTCAAAACCCATATCAATTGCGCCTCGACGATTTTGTCAATGAGTCGAGCATTCAAAAGATCGTTAAAGGTGTCGGTCTTTCGTGCGCCGCCCTGAGGAACGGCTATATTGCTGTACAGGACGATGCACCTGAGGGCTGGACACTCAGCAGCACCCTGGTCTTCCTTGGACTCGGAAGACTTGCTCCAGGCACGAGGAATAAGCCACAGGCGCTAACGGCGGAGGAAGCGAAGGAGATGTTTGCAGCTCTGTAAGATCGCGTTGGGTACTCCTCTGTTTACATTTTCCCAGTTGGCTAACAGGAATCAGGCCGGCTCAGGAAGCAGCCATTCTTCTAGCAACTTATGACTTTGCAAATGCAAATAAGCTCTTTG